TTTACTTCAAGTTGATTCTGGTGCTTGGATTAGGATGAAAGTAGGTATAACTCAAGTTTGAAGACGATGTTGTGCTTGCTGTAACAGTTTTAAATTTTAGTAATTAGTCAGCCTTTTGAATGGTGCTTCCTAAAAACAGCTATTGTATATGCAAGCTCTCTCCAGCAGTGACTGTTTTTGATTCTCTATTGTTTGGGCTGACCCCCAAGTTGAACTCTCTGAAACTCAAATGTCTAATGTTCTTCATCAGACTATGGTCTATAGATCCATTACAATAGAGCTGGAGCCTGCGTACAGCTTGGGAGCAAACCCAGACCTGTCTATCACTAGCAATAGGGGAATGCCACAAGTGCTTATGTTCTACTCGTGTCATTCTGCTTTGATAGTGGCAGTCGGGATTTAAACAGATCTCCCATCTGGGGAAAAAGGGCTTAGAAAAAGGCAGAAACACTTGCTTTAATTTTTTTATTAAAAATTTGTTTTGATGTCTTTGTTTTGTTACAAGTAGTGTGCCAGAATGTCTATGTTTTCCTTACTTTGTTCTGCTTTCTCCTCTTTGTTAAGACATTATTACCTTCCCACTTACAGGCTTTGTGGATTTCAGATGAGAAAGCAGAAGGATGTAATTTCCATTACTACCTTCCCTTTGTTAAGGAACTTTTTCCTCTCTTGGATCATCCCAAGCAGATAGAAAGTCAGATTGGATTGAAAAGTCCCATTCATAGATTGGAAGATACAGACAGTATTTTAGTAGTCCAGCCTTTCTTGGACTGAGTTGATGTGCTTCCACCCTTTTTGTCAGGAAAAGACTCAAGTGGACTCAGTAAGATGATAGAGTGGGTGCATGCATCTTGCCTGCTTTTATATCCAGTCCTCATACCCTTTCTGAAATGTGAAGAATCAGTAATGTGGGTGAATCAGCAGGTCTAACAGTGTTGCAGTTGAGTCTATGCAGGCTTGGCAGCAGCCACAGCTCTGGCTATAAAGCTTAGCATCATCTTTCTGCTTTATCTTGAACTGGCAGGTCAAGGGCAAGAGACTTCCCAAGTTGGTGTCTTCTCTGGTGCTATGTATGCTATCAGCTTTTCTCTGAAAAGCTTCCTGATGTTTTCTCAATGTGTTTGAGCTGTACAGGGCACTATGACAGAGAGGAATTATGTTTCTGGTCTTTCACAGATTCTGTTTGCAGCCTTTACCTCGTTCCTGCATGACCCAGAACTCGCTCAGTGAGAAATAGAGAAACTAATTGTAGATCCCAGTACTGTGAGGCACCTGATCACCTGAAATGTATTGGTTCTGGAGATGCAGAAGAGAAAACTAAGGAAAAAAAAAGTTTTACATTTTCATTTAATGGGTTATTTCTAGAGAAGTGTCACAGTAGCGGATTTCTTGCATTTTGGCAGAGCCTAACAACAGAACAGTTAGAAAGCAGCAGTCTCTTGTTGTGTGACTTCCAGCCATTTTGTTTTATAAGCAGTGTAGGTATTTTTCTAGTAGGTCCTGTTACACCACTGATATTTGTCTGTACTTTTTAATGTCTTACACAAAGTTCTTCAAACTTGAAGGAAGGCAGGTGTTCCTTGTTAAACAAAACACTGATCTGTTATCACTCACCTAGATTTGAGTTACTTTAAAAAATAAATTTAGACTGTCTTGAGTAGGTTATGGAATCATAGTTCAACATAACACTTAATCCTCAATTTCCGAGAAATGCTGTATGCTGTTAGATGGTTTAAGTGCTATGGGCAACCTTTTTTTTTATTCCAGTTCCTCTGATACTAAGTTTTTGTATCATGCATGCAACTCTTATCTGTTTGCCCTTAGCAAACACTTACGGTATTAGAACTAAACCAAGCAAACATTTAAACTATTATAAGTTATTGGTTTCTCATGTCATTAGTAACCCTACTTATTAGAAGATCTTTTGTGGGATCAGTATTACTAGTTGACTTTCACAAATTCTTTTCCAAAACCAAGAGTAATTTTTTACAGTTAGGATTAATTTTTTTATATGCTATCCTAAGTATTTGCATGCCTTAGACTGTAAAATTAGACCTATGGTTTTGTATCATAAGGTGGTAAAGGTTTGTTGTATTGCATTTGCAATATGAAATATTCTCATAGTACAGGTTCATCAGTTTGAGGGGTTTTTTTCATCTCTGCTTACAGAAATTAACCAGATTGCATGCCTGTGGACCAGAGAAACAACACACATGTGCATTACTGTGCATTTCTCTCCCCCCTGCCCTTCTTTCACATCACTCACTCTGGGTTATGTTTTCTCATTGCTTTTCAGCTTAAGATCAGGCTGTAAAACCAGGGACCCCTTGAGAGAACTAGGCTAAATACCCCTTCATAGTCTGTCCTTGTGGACACCAGTACCATTCCTCTTCTTAGTCGGAAGTTTGTTTGTGCCTATTTGTGGCGTTTTTGAGAATTGTGCTAATGGTGTCAGCAAATGTAGAAACTTGGACTGATTGTAAATAGCTTGCAAGTTTGAGCTCCTGTTTAAAGTAAGGATTGTGCTTTTGGTACCTTTCAACTGTGACAAAGTTAGGGTTGCTTATCCACGTGAAATGGTCTGAAGCAGATACTGCATGAGTGCTGCATCTGCAGTGCTTTGCCATCCTTGGTTCCAACAGGAAGTTGCTTAACCACTTATCTGTGTAACTTTACTGTATGTGACAGAAGTGGTCAGGCTATGTGCCATCTTGTATGCATTCAAACCTACTTCTAAATACTGATTTTTTTAATTTTTTTTTTTCAGAAAACTGCATTTGGTTAATCAAACTCAGGTGTGTGTGTAGTCACATTTCATTATTTATTCAGTTTTCCTATCACTCTAATGGTGAACTTTGCTTTCATAACACAGTTTTACAGTTTTTATTTTCAAGGATAACTTGTGGCTGAGGCATCAGCCAAGAAAGCAGAGGATGTCAGTCCTCCAGTTGCATCTATTGTGGGCTTAGCACAGTGGAAAAATTGGGATTGCTTGCAACGTATTCTTCATTTAAAACCTTTGACAATTTCCTAGAGGGATCCTAAACTGTTATTATCAGTAGCTGGTGGCTGTTAGTGCTCTTGGGACTGATAGTTTCTGCTCAGTGCTGGTTGAATTTTCTTGGAAGTTTCTGGTGAATATGAGGAGAACTTTTTGGGAAAGGCAGCAGTATGGAGCAGATTCAAAGCCATATCTGTAGGCTTCTGAGGGCCACCTTTCCTTTCTTTGCTAGTTGCGGATTGTGAGCATTTTATGTCATGAAAAACCGAGACTGCTTTGTGGGGTGGAGGGAAGTTGGAGGTGGGGAGGGATCATGGAAGGCTGTGTTTATTCAGGGTATGGAAAAGGGAAGAAAATAAAAATAGTGGGCTACACTGCTGTGTAGCAGTGAAGAGCCTGTATGACTTTCAAGGGTAGAAGGTTTTTTTTGAAAGTGGAAGGAAGGGGAAGCATGTGGCATTTGTACGATGTTTAGAAAATATGTATTTTATATAGTTTTACTGGAGTAAAGACACTGTTGAGAACATCTCTGAAGCTTTATAACTTAGAAAACAAAGGCCTAAGATTATTTGGTCACTTTTTAATAATAGAAGGAGACTAATGGGTTGGGAGAAGACTTTTAAGAGATCTGCGCTTGGAATATGGTAGTCAGCGTTTTCATAAATGTTACCTTGAGGGCATCTTTCAGATCAGAGTTTGATCATGAAGCCAAATTACTTGGGTAGGTAAAAATAAAGGTTAACTAGAAAGCATTGGTAAAAGGAATCTGTTTTGACTAAGGCAAGGCATTTTATAGTCATAAATGCAGTGGAATCCATGTGGTGGGTGAGGGTTGGAAATCTAAGCAAGGCAAACATCTATGATGATTTCAAAATCTATCACAGAAAAAAAGCTGCTAGCTGCTAGGGATTATAAAAGCTACAAATCCTCTCAAAGATGAGCTGTTCTGTACAGCTGTGGCTTTGTGGAAGACACAAAGATAAAGGTCCTAGAAAACAGTGGATAGGTTCACAAGGTACAAAAAGTACATCAGTAGCTATTTAATGTTTGTCCAAGAAGAACATCCCTCTACATACTTTTCGTTCATATATGGAAAGAGCACTCTGCCACTTTTTTCCTGGTCCTGTTTGGTACTTGCAGATACAGAGCAGAAAGGCTGATGAAAATGACCCCTGCTGGCCACAAATTCCCACTGCTGCTGCTGGCTTTACTGGAAAAAAAAAGGCATGATGGATCAAACCAGAGACGTTTCTAGCCCAGCATCCACCACTAACACTAGATGTTTTAAAAACAAACAAACAAAGTTCCAAACAACCCAAAACCTACCATCACCAAAAAACCCCCCAAAACAAAACTAAGCACCCCCCCAAAAAAAACAAACAAAAAAAAAACAAAACAAAAACCCCCAAACAACAAACAAAAAAATACACAACAAAAAAACCAACCAACCAAAATCCAAACTAAACCCAAAAAGTATTCGTTTAGACCATGCATGTGATAGATACCATGCTGGCGTGAGTGTGTGAGTACCTTAAGCCTTCTGTGGAACTTTGCTGCTGTATTCTTTTTAAGCATCTAGTGTTAGTGGTGGATGCTGGGCTAGAAACGTCTCTGGTTTGATCCATCATGCTTTTTTTTTTTCCTTTTTTCTTTTTCCTTTTCTTCTCTCTTGAGAAATAAAAAATAATGAATGACTGTCTAATGTACCTTAAAAATGACTGTGATAACCACATGAGAGTTAATATTCTGACAAGTCAGCGAGTGGGAGAATTTTCTATCCCTTTTGTTGCCGGTGTCCAGAAGAAGTTACACTGTCAAGTAATAGTAGCTCTTTCCTGACTGTACATTTGTTATAGTTATGGTGGTGAACCACAATAAATAGTAAGTTTATGTAAGATTTACTTTTCAACCTGTCTAAATATGTCTGAAGAAACTATGATTTTTACTTGCCCTGTTAACATGCAACAAATACGAACTTTCTCCTTTTTGCTTTACAGCATAAGCAGCACTATTATGGATGTAGACAGCACAATTTCCAGTGGACGTTCAACTCCAGTTATGATGAATGGACAAGGAGTTCCTGCCTCCTCTGCGAAAAGCATTGCTTATAATTGTTGTTGGGACCATTGCCATGCTTGCTTCAGCTCCAGCCCAGATTTGGCAGATCACATTCGCTCCATACATGTGGATGGTCAACGAGGAGGGGTTGGTGTTACTTTTTGCTTTCTTCCTCTTTCTTAGTTGCCAATATTTTACTCTTTAATGACAGTAGTAAACATTATGTTTTAAAATATCTGTTCAGTACCTAGCTGGTAACTAAAGTTGAGCCTTCAGCAGTCTGGCAGTCAATGGTGTCTTTTGAATAGATCAATTGATTTGGTATTCTCTGGTTTTAATTGAATGCCTAACTTTAAAAATGTAGTAAGTTCTTTTTAATGAATGCGTTGAAGCTATCAAGTATTTGATAAATATGCTAACTTCTCAATGTCCTGAAGGTGTTGGTATATCTCTAAGTGCTTATACTTGGAATTCATTTTCTTAAAACTATTAGTGTGTGTGTTACTGCATGTGAGCTCTGATGAAGTTATATATTGATTATTTTTATGAATGGAGTATCACTAGAGGTAAAATATATACAGCATGTATAATAGGGAAGGTGCGAGACTTGTTGACTTGAGAGGACAAATTATTCACAAGTTTAATGTTTCAAAACATCTTCCGGTAGAGTAACTTCAACTCTGTACTTAACTACCTGCCCCTTCCCAGCCTCCCAAATCACCTTTGCCTTGAGTATGTAATGTAAACTAAGTTTACATCAAACACAAGCAATCTGCCTGCCTTCAGTACTGTATGTTACAGCTCTTTAATTTCTTCGAGAGCTAATGTCAGATCTTAGCCTAGAATAGTCATCTTCTGACTTTGTCCTGTCACTTCTCCAGAAGTAAAATGTTAGGCCATTACACTTAATTTTGAGTAAGATACTTAAATAAAATGCTAATAGACCTAAATAAAATACTATTTTGCATTACCTTAAATAATTTATTACATAATTGTGTCAGTGAGATAGCTGTGACTCTGGCTGTATTTAGCTAATGTTTCTGGTACAGTTGAACTTTCAGCTTCATACTAGGTGACTTTTTCTTATTCCATGCTCTAAGCAGAATCATCAATGCAGTGAGGTGGCTTTTTAACCACCCATGAGATAATTTCTGTAGTTCACTTATTGGTTTATTAAAGTGTTATATGAATCCTGGATGAAATAATGGAATGGATGAGGTGTTGCCTGTATCCTGTGGGCTTTCACATAACTGCATCTTCAAGGATCTTTGTTATCCCATCCATGACCCCTTTTCTTTTCTTAAAAAGTGACTGGAAGATTTTTCAGGGTTTGTTTTTTTATTTTTTTTTGTATTTCTGTTCACTTACATTCCATGTGACATGATTTGTGGATATTTTTATTTAGAAGATGTTAGACTGTATTTGTCTTTCTGAAAGAGGAGCTTGTTGAAGCACCAGCTGTCTAACTGTTGCATTCAGTTTATGCTTTTATCCCCCTACTGGAGGAGGGGTTTTTTTTGTTTGTTTGGGGTTTTTGTTTTTGTTTTTTTTAGTTCTTCAGCTTGATGCTGTAGAAGGGGACTGATCCTGGCTGTTTGGTTTTTTTTTTCTCTTCAAGGATTTGTCTGCCACCTGCTGGTGGAGGTGTTTAAGTGGTGTTAGTAGTTACGTTCTTGTGGCTTTGATTGGATTTCTGGTATTACTCAACTACAGTGACTTTAAATTTGAAGGGAAAAAAAAGAGTAATAACTGCTTATTGATAACTTAAAAGCAATGTGATAAGCATCCTTGTATGGTAAAACGTGTATTTTCAAGTGAATACTGAGAAAATAGCTCCAAACCAAACCAGACAGATCCATGAAGAGCCCAGGAAAGTTTTGGGAAAATAATTTTACCTCCCAAAATTTTTTTTAGAAGTATTTCTGACTCAGCGTTTTGACAAGGGTCGCCAAGAAGTCTTGCCTGGACTTCTGATGGGTTCTTGTAAAATCAAGTACTTGGTTTTTGGAGGGATTTGCATCTCCACAATCTGTGACTTCATAGTAGTATGCCTTTGAGTGCCATGCAGTCTGCAGTTGCCGATGACAGTATTGGGACAGTTACAGAGCTGTGGCAGAGCCAGGAATCTCAGAAATTCAAGTTCTGTGGGTTCATGGGGATCTCAAAACTGAGGAGCAGCAATGATCAAAGGTTTAAGGGGTTGGGCCTTATGTGTCAGTAGATCTGAATCAGTCATACAGACATGCAGGGTTTTCCAGCTTTGTATTAGTATGCTGGGTTATCTACATATAGCAAGTACATAGCACTCCTGTGGCTGTTCTTTTGTTTTGAAAATACAGTCTTTTGGAGATTGAGTTTTTTAATCTCCAAATGAGAACAAGAAACTCGAATCCAATTAGTATCCTGCAGTCCTGAAAACCTGTATTGTGGACAGTACTGTTCCTGGGGACTGTATTTTGTTGCTACAAATCGGGGCTGTACCTCCTTTCACGCACAGACCTGTTGAGAAAATTCTAATTCAAGGCAAGTTCATTGAGCTTTTCTATTCTCTCAGTTGTAGACAGACACAATGAGAGGAGAGAGAAAAGCAGTCTGAGTAAGTTCTACTCCATTTAATGCACTATTGTGTGTGTGATTGATCTGTACGCTGGAATCACAAAAAACCCATAGACTTTGATTCCTATGAGAAATTGTAACTTCCTTCATCAGGAATGGAGTATAATAGTTTAATAAATGATTTTCTTTCTACATCTGCTACCCAGAAAATGTAAATTTGTCATTTTAAAATGGTCTGTCTTAGTATCTGGTGGATACAGATAGTGAGTGCAAACACAAACTCTTCAAAGTGGTTGCTGTGGCTCTCGATTGTTTTTATCTGCAGTAGGATCTGGTTTTTGGTATTTTATTTCGGTGACCTGCTTTTTTGAATACTTCTGAATGTAATTCATTTTTCCTTGATGAGACATGTGAAAAGTGATGCAAAATAAATGGTTATTGTTAAAAATTTTGTGAAGTGCTTTGTGTTGTGAAAACAGACTTCTTTGTTATTCTTATTTTTTTTCCACTGTTTTCTTTGGCTTGTGTAAACTTACCACATTTCTACTCTATTAGGTGTTTGTTTGCTTGTGGAAAGGTTGCAAAGTATATAATACACCTTCAACAAGTCAGAGTTGGTTGCAGAGGCATATGCTAACACACAGTGGGGACAAACCTTTCAAGGTAAGGTTCGTATATCATCCCTTATTTAAAGAGTGATTCTGTTATTTTTTCCTGACACATGATATTTAATTGGAAAAATGCAATCACAGGAAGATTTCTTAAAAAGCATCCAGTCAGCTGAGCCTTCATCTTTGCAGTAACTGTGGCCAGAGGTCCTGTTCTGTTACGAAAACAGGTGAAGATACACTTACTGCTTCTCAGTTTCTTGTAATCTATAAACGTTAGGGGAGTCTAAAACTAAGTGGTGCTGAAGTTTATTTTTTTGTGCATTTTCCAGCTGAGCTGCTTGCACTGTAGCAGTGAGATATTTTGCCTCATGCTTTACGCTTCCACGTTAAACTCTGGATCATGCTTGATGGTGTGCATTCTGTGCTTGAATAAGAGGTGGTTTTGTTAAAATTCAGTTGAAACAGTGAGTGACTATTTATGGTTAACTTCTCTGAGAATTATAAGGGAGTCAGGAATGCAGGGCCGTTGAGCTGACTATTTCCTGCATAGTATTTTCTAACTTTCTCTTTCTTTCTCCCCCTAATCTGTACCTGCAATTCTAGGTTTAGTAGTGTTTATCATTCCCATATCCACCAATCCGTTATTAATGAGTTGCTTCATCCTCTTATGGATACAGTTGGGGCAGTTCATAGCTGTCAGTCCTGGATCATTTGATGGTAAGTCCCACCCACACTACTTCAGACTGAAGTTCTCCTTCCATATAGGATATGAAAATGAATTAGGGTTTTTTATTAAGTTTAGGTAGAAATTTTATGCCTTCCTCTCCCCCAACCCTGCCTGGTTTTAGTCACAGTTTCTCTACTTCCCTCTCATTTTTGTTCTTAGGTAATATATTTTTTAATTTTTTATTTTAAGGCAATTTTATTGCTAAAAAATACTTTTCTGTTACAGTGATGTACAGAACAAGTAACTTCTGGAAGACATATTACTGTCACAGCAGTAATTGTGACAGAAAACAAAACTAAAGTCAGAACCTAGAGAGTAAAAATAGTGCATTGTAGGTGAAGAAGCTTTTAAATAAAGGTTAGACTTTTTTCCATACTGAGCTTTGTAGTTTAGTCTGAAAATTTGACTGAGAGTGTGAATAACAGCAGGAAACTTGCTCTTGACGTTACCATACCCTTTGTTCAAAGGAGTAAGGTTAGCTTGCTTGTTCTAGCAGCTTATCAAATCTTAAGTGTTAATCCTTGAATAAAATAAAATTTATAAAACCTCAAACAACAAAATAGTCATCAGAGGACACTTATACCTTAGGTCTTCTAATTTTGGAATTAAATATTTATATGCCTCCACGTACAATGGCAAGCTTTGGTCTTGAAAGAAAGGCTTTCAGTAGGGTAATTTGTATACTTATTTGATACAGAGCAAAGAAACTCAGTCTTAGAAACATTGGATTTAAAAGAGGGGATCATAGCTCAGAAATACCAGTAGTAGTTTTGAGTCTCTGAGTTACCTTGCAAAGTCAGGGAAGGTTGATAACCCAGTTCTTTGGCTAGGCTGGTTACAGCTAGAGCCCTGACATTTAAAACAATTGGTTCTAATAATCATCTTGTGTTAAGTATGTGTTGTTTCACCAGCTGATTTTCTGTACTTTCTGGTTGTATTAGAAGAAGAACAAAACACAGGCTAGGATTGCAGTAGTTAATCATCATGGCTCAGTGTTTGTCACTTCAGCATTTTTTTCCTACTGTTGTCTTCAGTCCTTGTTTGTTTTTTATCTCTGTATTTCTCAATCTGTTCCTGGGAGCTTTGAATGGAGGATAATTGTGGTCTGAATAGAATTTTGTAACATCCTTTGTTCCCCTGTCATTTATACTGAATATAGGCTTCAGGGCCCACATGAGGTAGCCAAGTATGTAAGTGTCTGTAATAGCAACCTATTAATTAACTAGCGCCCTTTCCTAACTTCTTTTCTTTTACAAGCTTTTGAAATCTACTGTGATACAAAACCACTTAAGAAAGTGTTGGATATTAGTCTTGATTGGTGCAAGAACAGCCATTACTAACTGTTTTACAGCAGTCATTCAAAAATGGAGCAAATGTTTCTGTTTGGTGCATTTAGTTGTTCTTCTAAATCTTAATTGCTCACCTTTTAGGAAAAGCCAGTTTTTTTTCAAGTCAGAGTTAGATTCAGGACCTCTTGTTCTTGATGGTTCCTGCAGACAAAATATCTCCCAAAACCTAAATTGCAAATGGAATTTCTGTTGCCTCATAAGAATACACTTGTGTTCTAGCGTAAGAGGAATCTGTCGTTTTAGAAAACCTGGTGAAAAAAATAAATAAATATCAGGATTTTTGAGGAAACCTGTAAAAGGCAGTAATAGAAGCGTAGCTGTTTACTGTTGTCTGAAGAACTGCTGTTCAGGATGTTTTTAAGAAAAGCGAAGAATGTTAGCCAGGAAGTGACAGTAAGAGCATGGAAAGTTTACTTTTGTAAAGATAACACTGTAATAATCTAATGGACAGAGAAGAGTAATAAATATATGGTAGGTTGCTGTATTCCTGTATTTCTAATCAGAATAAGAGACAAAGCTATTTTCTTAAATTGAAAGGCAGTTGAGGACTATTTTGGGCACAAAACTCTCCTTTGCATTAGAACTAGTTTGTTGAAGGATATTTCCCTATCCTGTCACCCTTTTGCTTGCAAGTGGACTCATTTTATGTAGCTGCCCATTTTGTGTTTAATTTTCTATTTTTGTAAAACACATGGTTTTGTCCTTTGATTAAAAGCTTTATCTGGCTGTAAATGAGCTGCTCTGCTTTCATGTTAAATGGTCTTTGTGGGTTTATGTGCCTTTTCCATCCATTCATATAAACTCTGCGACTGTGTAGTTCATTTGTCACAGAAATGAACCCACTTCTAAATTACAAAGGTAAAATGTTGCAGATTTTTGTAAGCTTCCTCTGTTTTTTCAGTTTGTGTGGTTTAGTGTGTCTCCCTCAGCATTAATATTATAATACTTCTCTCACAGAAAATGTAAATTTCCTTATGTATACATGTTTTTGAGACCTTTATTATGCTAGCTCCATTTTTACATGGTGCAATTTTCTGCTAGTGTATGTCCAGCTCATAAGAAGGAGACATTTTGTATCAGAGTAATCTGTTGAACCAAGGAAAAGAAGAGAAAAGTAAACAGCAAAAAACTTCCCTAGATCTTTGGGCAGAATTTAGGACCTCAGTTTGCCTTTAGTCATCAGATTGCTTTTCTGTTTATTTCCCCTTTTTTTCCCTAAGTTTTAATACTGATGGCCTTGGATTTCTTGTGGAACACATGGCTAGATTTTTTTGGTTGGTTTTTTTTGGCCATCATTACTATGTTTTGTTATTGATAGAGTATCTTTTCCTAGGTCCAATCACTCCACCAATGAAAAAGTGCCCATTAAATGAGACATAGTTACCGTTCACTGCAGCTATTTGTCAGTCTGTATTCAAATACTATTTCTGCAAAGTGTCATGCTTTTCCAGTCCTCCTTTTGGTAAGCACTGTTTCCTAGGTTTGTTTTGTCAAGAGGAACAAACAAACAAACTGGTCTTCCAGTGAAACATACTTTGGCCCAATGCTAGGTACTTTTGAAGTTATGCTACCCCTCTTAATACCTGAAGTTGATTGCCCTTGAGCTGCTGGAAGTTTTCTCTGCTTATTGCAGTCTGATTCTAGCCATCTTTTTTTTTTTTCTTCTTTTCTTTTCTCCATTATAGACATTCATTTAATATAGGTATTCTCAGAGCATATTTCTCTGGAGGCATTTGGTACATTCATATTTGTGTATGATTTTACATCCAGAGTTGAGAGAGGAAAAAACTAAACATTATTCTTTTTAGATCTGTTATTACATACATTTTGCAGCTTTTAAGAAGCTGGTGGAATGTTGTGGAGTATCCTCAACATGTAGTGGTGGCCCTGTCAAGTGTTCAGCAACTTAACTTTCAGGCTTTCAGAACATGTAGATGGATAGATCTAAAGGAATAATAAACTGCTGAGTAGGAAAACTGACACTGATAACTGTCTTTGGCAAGCTGAAATAATGTCTTCATTCACTTTATCTTTCTTGTTCTAAACTTGGCTGTTACAGATAATAAATATTTGAATAGCTAATGTGCTGTGACAACCTGTGTTTTCCAGCATGGTTTCTGGTACTCAAATTAGTTGAAGTAGTAATTGCCATGCCTTGTTGCTGTACAAGACATTGAAAGTTTATTGAAAACATATCAAATCAACTCTTAAAATTTAGTCTAGGTAACCAATTACAAGATGTTAGGCACAATGAAAGGACAAATGGTAGGGCTGGTGCAAAACAGTGGGAGTTTTTTTGCAAAATAACTGTATATAGCAATTTTCTGTAAATACAAGACTGCACGTGGGTATGCTACCAGCTGCTTTCACATACCAGTTCCAGTGGGTATGCTAGTAGTGTTTAAGATCAGTCACGAATGGTTTGCCTGTGTGAGGTAAATGCTTTCAATAACAATGAATGACAGTACACAGGTTCATTGAAGGCTTTCATCCTTTGTTTAAAAGGGGGAAATGAAAGTAATACTACAAATAAAATTTGGTATTCATTCTACCACATGTAACTTCCAGAATTCATTAAGGGGTGACTGCATTTGGTATGACTCTCTACTAGTAGAGTAACACTTGTTGCAATGTAGAAAACACAGCCAAGCAGCTTGAGTCCTCATTTGGAATTCATGTCTGTTGCTCTCTTGGCAGAATATCTTATATGCGATAGAGCATTACAGATGCAGAGAGAAAATGTAAAGGCATTCTGCCTGGACACTTAAATGATGAGACAATAAGAAGGTTTATCCAGATGTCCAAAATACTACTGTTAGCTTTATTGGAAAAAATACACGTAGAATATTCTAAAAAGGAGATTTGGTTATTTTGAATTTAATAGGAAAAAAAGTGCTGTATTGCTAGATCCTTTTACCGTTTGTTAAAGTCACTGCTGATTTACTGCCCATTAATAATGGTGGGTATGGGTACACTGGAGAAATTAAACTTTTTACGTGTTGACTTATTTTCTCTTGAAGTAACATATCCACCAATCCGGACCCAATCTATCATACTTAAAATTGAATGGAAAATTTTGAGATTTAGGTTTTGGGGGGGTAAAATGAAGAGATTAGTTTAAAGTTTTGTATAGTAGTTGAGTTTGATTTATTAGAAGCCCTCTAGATCTGTATAATTATCTGGTGGGAAGCTGATTTGGTGTGACTTACCGTCCAGAGATCCTGAAGTGACAGCCTGAACTGCTCCTTTATCTTTGGAGAGAAGAGACTTTACCCATTAGTAACGGATTGCTGGATATATTATTTTAGAGAAAAAAAAAGAAAAAAACAGGTAAGATTTCTCTCCTCTTTACTATTTCCTGTCTACTACAAAGATATTTTGTGTCATCTTTGATTATATGGACTGATGATTATTTGATGACATGATTAAGTAGTCTCAAACTATACAATATCTGAATGTAATGATTTCTGCAACTATTTCATACTGTGGCTGCAGGCTCTAAATGGGCTTTTTGGAAAAAAATGATTTCTAGTTAAAGTTACATATATTGAAGTTTTAAGGATGCTGGTTTGGGGCTTTTGAAGGTAAAACTTCAGTAAAGCAAGAAAAGTAAGTGGTAGTTTCTGTAAACCTGTATAAAATATCTGATTGGGTTTTTTTGTAAATGACTAGACAAAAGTCAAGTTAGGACATTGTGAGTCAAACTGCATTTTGTCATAAACAGTGTTTCCCATTTGACAAGAAATACAGTTAAGCCTTATGAACTTGTGTTTTAAAAAGTTTGAAATGTTCTTGACACAAGTTCATGTGTTAATTTCAGAAGGTATTGCCTTTTGATATTATACTTTAATGAAGTTGAGATATGTTAATACGTGCACTGTACCAAGTCTAGGTTATTTTTTACCTCTAGCAGGCATTGGCAAGACAGAAATATTAATTACTCCGTATGAACTTCAGTGTATGGGTTGGTTTTGTTTTGTTTGGGTTTTTTTCCACCTTTTTTTCTGTCAGTGTTTGTAGGATCAGAAAGAGCTAGAAGCTGAAGACAGGAGCACCTTAATGAAAATAAAGCCTAAGTGTAAATTTAGTTGCTTAGTTTAGTTTCATGAAACTGCTTTTATGGGTGAGACAGCTATTTCAAGGACTTCAAAAATGGAGAATATAAAGAATTGCTTTGACTAATGCACACATGTATTTTACTTGTATCTGTTGATTGTGAGTTTGATCATGTTTAATACTGCTAAGGGGATCAGGTTCAAGGTCAGGTTGGGTGGAGCTTTGAGCAGCCTTATCTAGTAGAAGATGTCCCTACCCATGGTAAGGGGGTTGAAACTGGATGGTTTTTAAGGGTCCCTCCCAACTGAAAGCTTTCCATGATTCTATAAGGGTAAATTTTAATTCAGTATTAATTTGAAGTAATAAATATTCCACTGAGGTTACCATAGTGTAAATGAGATCAGGAATTTCATAGATGTGCTGGGATTTCTTATCTTGTAAGTTGCTACAGTATAAGTATACAACATTGCTATTGTTTGAATATGGGAAATTACATGGGAAAGTAAAGAGGTGTAGGCAGGTTTTTGAAAAAATCTTCACAATTCTTAAACTGTTTATTAGTGGAGAAGACAGGAACAAGTATGGTGTGAAGGATCCTGAAGCTTTTAGCAGGAAATTATATGTTTGTAGTTAGCTTGGTACTTAGAGGAAGTTAGGGAAAGTTTTCTAAGGTGTTTGGGTTTGGGCTTTTTTTTTTTTTTTTTTACTCCCTGAGGCTTACCCCCAAAACATAAAAGGCAATTAAAAATGTGAAATATGTCCTCTTATTTTTTGTCTTTTATGGTCTCGAAATATATATACGTATTTTTAGTCCTTTACCAAGTACTAAGCCCCTGGGGATAACACAAGTTTTTTGTATTCATGGATACTTGTTTTATGATGATCATGGAAATGTCATTTGCTAGGTCTGCAGCACAAATAGGTTTTTCAATTCTGCAGCCACAGTTGGAAAACAACAGTTGGGGTTTAGGGACAAAAGACATACTGAGTGGTGTTCTCCTGATGGTTTTTTCTTCCAATCAAATGTGCAGACTTGGGGCACATTACTGTAAGACCTTGCAAATTCATCCTTGGTCTTCAGAGAAAACTTAGCACTATGTACATAGTTGCAGCATTACTCATTCCCAACTCCTGTTGGAGCTGCCTCATCAGTTTTCTGTGAAGGGAAGTGCTAGAGAGTTACAGGTGAAAGATTGGGGAAGGAGCAGAAGAACAACAGCTTTCCAATGGTGAAGACTGGTTTCTTGTTATTGGCTGATAACTCATTTGTCCTACTGCTGTTCTTGGATCAGGAGAAAAATTGATCATGTGGATAAACAGTTCCTTGCATCCAATAATGGAATGCGTATCTTAAAATCACTTTTCTATTACCCTTCTAAATTCAGAGCACAAGAGAAGGTTTGTGCCTCTATCCCCAACACTATTATTTAAATACTCATCTTGCAAATGAAATAATTGTAAATAGAAACAAATACTTATAAAAATACCGATATTATTGTAGCCAGTTTGAGCTTAATTGCATTGATCTTGTGATTTCTGCGTTTCTGCTTAATTGTTAGACCTTTTATCATTTTTCCTTCTTGAGAGAGAGAGGCCTCTCTTGAGAGTTTTAAGAAACTTTTTAAGTTTCTTAAAAAGTACTGAGCAATAGTAGCATCCCAAAATAAATTCATAAATAGTTGTTAATACAACTTTCAAATTACTGAAGCTAAAGTTTTAGGCAGAACTATAGGATAACTGTTTATTGTCTTTGTATAGCATTTTCTAAAAGCATTAAGCTGTTTCAAATTTAATGTGTGTAGGGATGAATTGTTTTACTTCTGCCTTAAGAAAAAGGAGTATGTGAGAGTTCACTACTGTTATCAAATGAAGAAGATTGGAGAGCTGTTGAGAAATACAGAATAACAGTGCAGTATTTCGAAGACAAGGGGATGTTGGTCTCTAAGGGGGAAAGTTCTTCAGAAGCATTAGTTTTCTGTGGAAAGAGTTTGTCAGTGCATTGTCTGAGATTGGTTTTATGCTATACAACATTATAGAATATAGTGTAGCATGGAAAAAGATGAATAATTCTTGAGAGATAAAAAGTTCAGATATAAATTTATTTCTTTTAGATTGTTTTTAGTTTCCTTTTTAAGAACTGCGTGGTCGTTAAGAATTTGTCTTCCTTTTAGTGTGGTGGAGGTTGAGCCAGAAAAGTCAAATGAATGAGTCCCACATAGCACGCTGATACAGTTGTTCTGGATTTTTTTCTCATTAGTGTGTCGTTGGTGGGTGCAATGCCAGCTTTGCATCTCAGGGAGGACTTGCCCGTCATGTGCCCACACACTTCAGCCAGCAGAACTCTTCAAAAGTTGCTAGCCAGCCAAAGGCCAAAGAGGAATCTCCATCTAAGGCTGGAATGAATAAAAGAAGAAAGTTAAAGAACAAGAGACGACGATCATTGCGTGAGTATTTCCAGAAGTAAAAGTTCTTGGCAGTTTTCTTAAATAGGAGGTTTCTCTTCAGTGTGGATGTTTCTCTGCAGATGTGGATCTGGTAGGGTTGGTGATCTGTAGCATTTTAGAGTGTCAGCATCCCTTGTCATGGGAGTGAAATATTTCCACGTTCTTTCATGTTCCTTTTTAGGGTAAAGGGTTTATGCATTCATTAGAAAAGATCAGTTTTCTATGAGCAACAGTTTCAGCTTACAATTTAAAGATGCTTTTCACTGCCTTTTGTTTACTGAGTATATTACTGTTGGAAAATGTTGTGTTTAGTGATTGCGATCTGAAGTTCAGTACTGCAGACAGAGATTGCAGATTCATATAAATTAGAGATAAATGCATATTATATGAGCTCTCTTTCAAGCACAACATTTCATTAGCTTAATGACAGTTTTATAAGCAGAACGAAGTTTTAATTCTGGGCAGATTTGACTTATGTTTTTTAATCTCTCTCCATGCAGTTGATGTTTGTTAAATTGCTGAGAATGTGCTGAGAAGTGTGGTTTATCATTTCAAGTGAAATTTTTTTCTTCTGGCAAGTAATAATCACTTACCCTGTACCTTTTCTAGTCCATTTTGATCCAGCTGTTTTATTTCTGAGCTGTCTTAGTATTAGACTAATAAGCCTGTCATATATTTAGGGATTCTAATGTACAGAAATTGTTAGGAAAGACTGTGCAATTGTTAATAACTTTGTTTTACAACTGCTTTGGATGCAAATCTCCAGTACTGAACTGATTATTTACTAATTTTAAACTGTTACTGTGGCAGTTGCATTTTAGAGTAGAGACGTGGAAAAATCTATTTAGATTTTTTTCTTACTAGTATGTCAACAGCCAAAGAAAAAACTTCCATTAATTTTTAACTGTGGTGTAAAGCCAACCTTACAGTATTGGAGAGAAGTGCACGACACTTGTTTATGAACCACTGGACCTGTTACATCTTACACTGTCCACAGAAATGGAGCTCTCTTCATAAGCAGGCAATTATTTCAATCATGTCTCCCAGCCGTCGATAGGATTTTAGTGTTACTTTGCTAGGTAAGCAATTATAGTCTTACTTTTCCCAAACTTTTCTGTGGCAGAACACTTCACTGTACTGATCTTTCTGTTCCTGTGAAGAAATACAGTTACCAGTTACTCAGATGGTACTGCACCAACAAATGAACAGATTAGTGGTCTTATGTGATTAGTCTATACCATGTGATTATTCTTATCTCAATACCTCATCTGTGTTTTAGGCAACTGAAATTTATGAAGCAGTGGTCATGGTTCTGCCTTGAACGCAAAGTCTGTCCTGGAAAGTTACAGTATTACCTAGAATTCTGAAGAGTGTATTTCCTGTGTCTGTCTCCTGCACTGTATGACAATTATGCATTTCAGTGCTAGAAGAGCCTCTGTTTACTTTAGTTATGGTGACTTTTTTTTAATGCTTAAGTATTCTTTAAATATATGAGAGCAAGTTATATCATTAAGTGTAAACTTGAAGAATTTAATTTTAACACTGAATCACACAGAACCGCTCAGTTGGAAAAGACCTCTG